TATTCTCTGCACTGGCATGGCCACATGCAATCCTAATAAATATTCCAAACTGTACCTACTATGAATTATGGCTTTTTGCTATGAGTTCAAAGCTCCTCATGACAGATCTACAGCCTGACTCATTATATTTAGAGTAATGATTATCCTGTATAAAACTTAACAGTTTCTCCTTGGGGGATACAATGGAAAACTTTCTTAAGCGCCTAAACCTAGCACAGTTGTCATCTAAGGATTCACAGAAGTGGTTAATGGGACTTTTTGAAAGTACCCAAATTCTTATCTGTGCCTGGAATAAAAGTTTTCCTTAAATATGGACATGTAGATGCTCTTTAAACACTTAATTACAAACATTTAGTATTTTTTCCCATTGTTGTGTGCATTAAAAGGAGGGTATTCAAGCAATCTGCCCACACACTGAAAACACTTTAGTATATTCTTCTGTCTCGGCTGCTGACTACCTTCTGCTGCTGTCTCTGACTCCAGTTTCTGTCAGTCTTCCTCTACTCCTTTCATGAAGCCCATTTCCCTGTGGGTTCAGCATTCTTCAGACCTAGTCAGCATTGCCTTGTCTTTGGGCTATGCTAGCATCGGAAAGGCCAGAGGCTCTTTTATAGTAATGAGGTACAGATGTACCTCTGCTTTTCAGTCTGTCCTGTGTTCCTTCCCTGCCCGGAACTAGTAAAATAGAAATTTATGCTCTTTACATAACATGGTATGAAATACACTTTAGGACAATGGTCCTAATTCCCTGCTAAATCTGGATTTGTAAAACATTTCTAGGGATGGGAAGATTTGAAGAATACAACCATCTACCAGAAAACTCCAGATAGACCTTGTTTTTCCTATAAAGGTGATTAAATTTCACTTTTTGGATGTAGATTACTTGCAGAAATTTCATCCTCTAAAAAAGATAGACTATCTGGCAAAGCAGAACACACATTGCTGAAGTTGCTTTATCTCAGTGAAACAGGGACAGCTCTGTATTCATGAAAGTGACCATCAGAAAGGGTGCTGGTCTCTTATTATTTAGTCTAACAACTGAAGGAAGCAAAAGACCAAGCTATTTTAATTTTTATTTTTAAAACAGCTCTTACACAGATTGTGACGGGAGTATTTTGTGAAAGACACTCTCACATCTTTGTTGAAATCAGGTCTAGTCAGGGAAGGAAGCTTTTGCTTCCTTTTGCTGCTGATTAAGAGTCTAGGGCTTAAAGGGCAATTCCAGACAAGGAGGGAGATCTTTATCGCTGCCCTTGGAACAGTTCCCACTGTTGTGCTCATTCTCCCCCCCCCCCCCACTTTTAATCACAACTTACAGCTGTAAAACATATCTGAGAGAATGGTACCAGCATATCAACTGTTCTATGAAGATGCTAGATCATTCAGTATTGTTATGTTTTCAATACTTATAAATGTTTCTAATAATATGACATGGTTTCAATCAGTAAACAGTTCTTAAGAACTACCACAGCTGTTTTCTGAGTAGCTAAAGTAGATCAGCTTGTAAGAAAGCAGCACAGGACAGTCCTCCTCTAAAAAGTACAGTGTGGGCTGAAGCCATCTGGTGAGTATTACCTGTCACCTTCTCTCAGCAAATATTCATCTAGTGTCCAGTCCATACAGGAGAGATGTTTTACAATCTACAGTCTACCTACAAACCAGGAGAAGACCTTAGGATCAACTCTCAGCATTCAGATATAACACATATCTTTAATCAATCAGTACAGTTATGTGGACATGGTTTCCGTGCTAAATTAGAGGGAGACATGACAAATGGCACAACTTCAGTTCACAAAAACCTGAAAAACTCAGGGACTGGGGCAACACAAATGATAATAATAAGAACAATATAATAATAAATTTATAAAAAAAATAATAGGAGGCAATACCTCTGGGCAGATTAACCCCAAGCATCAGTATGGGCTGGGAACTAACTGACAGGGCAGCAAACTCAGTCAAAAGGACTCAGGCACTACAGTGGGTGTCAGGCTGAACATGTGCGAACCATGTGTTCTCATAATGATCAAAGTAAACCATCAAGGGCTACCTTAGGGGGATCAAGGGAGGTTATTCCACACTCAAAGGGAGGAGTAGGGCATAACTGGTCTACTGTGTTCACTTCTGGGAACCTACATCCCTTCAAGAGGGAGAGGAGCGATAAAGTGTCTATCAGGTTGGCCAGGGACACAGAGAACATGAATTATGGGGAAAACCTGAGGCAGTCGTACTTCTTTGTCTGGCAAAGGAAGGGCTAAAGGGTGATCAGTAGCAGCCTATGACTACATGAAGAGATCACAGAATCACAGAATTGCACAATCAATTAGGTTGGAAAAGACCTCAGGTCATTGAGTCCAACCTATGACTACAACACCTTTGTCCAAATTTTTTTGACTCTTTTTACAGAGAAAGAATGGACAAGCAATATTAGGTATGTCTAGTTGTTTTTTTTTTTCTCAGCAAAAGACTTAATATGTCTGAATGTGTTACAGCTCTTTTTCCTAACGGTATAAGTTCAGCACTTCATTTTATTATGTGCTAATTTTATGTCTTTCTATAGCCTTTATACAAAAAGAATGCTAAATTACAGAAAACTTAAATCACAAATTCCAGATTGAATCATACAAAAGAGAGGTAATTGATTAGTTCATCACTGCAAAAGTTCATTTGATTTAAGGGCTATAAAACTTGCTTCAGATTCTCTCAGCAATATTTATTCACCTTTTATTAACTGCCATTAGGGCTACAACACTGCAAAAAGCATCAGGCAAAAGGAAATAGATGGAAAAATTGAAAATCTTACTATTTACAATGTAACATATGCAAGGCTTACACAAAGCAGTTTAATGATCTGTGAGCTTGATGCCTAGCCAATTTGAACTTTATTCCTGAGAATCGGATTGTCATCTAAGATTTTGGTTTGGTTCAGAACGAAAACTTGGATATGAATTCCCACCCAGTTCAAGAATGCTTGGATCTACACTTAGCCTGGGACTACAATATCAGTGAAGGGTATGCTAATTTAGGAAAGCTAAAAGGAAAAGAAAAATCTAGGTTACCCCAGGTAAAAATTGCATAACACTGGAAGAATAGAGGGAAGTGGAAAGCATGCTTGCTTAAGTAATGTTTAGACCACTAACCTCATTTATCAGCCGGACTAATATAGCTTGTAGAGATGTAAAATTCAAACAAGTAAGTGGTAAATTCATGGGTTCTCTGCAGCCAAACAGTTATCCAAAGATGATATCAAGGGGCTGCTGGAAGTCTGGAAGGTGTTTTCTAGGGCTGTTTATATTGGACTGCAGAGTGATGAAAGCTATTTTTGTGTTAGGATTGTGTCAAAGCCATTAGGGGAAGCTACCCCGCTAAACCCAGAATTAGAAGTCTCGTGTGCTTGGGAGGGGGGGGGGGGGGGGGGGGAAGAAGAAAAAAATTAAGACAGAGTCCCTGCCCTGAGAATTCTGCTGCTATGTGAATTAACATATCAAGTAACATCTAAGAAAATGAAGGAAAATAGTTTTGGTGAGAGGAAAAACACCTTACAGTCTTGAACGGTGTACAGTTCATTTCTTTGCTCACTTTATTTTGAAGTAAGTGGTAAATTTCTAAAAATACAGATCTTTTTACACTTTCTATATAGATTTAACAGGGCATGTGATGATGACTGTAGCTCTCCTTGACAGGATAAGAAACTCCCCTCAGCTGTATTGATTGTTCCTTGCTAGCTCTGATCTTTCTCAAGAAGTGAAGAGTATTGCCCCCCGGCTTCATTGCTTTTTTCTTTGTTTCCTTTCCTTACAGGAATAATGAGATCTATATATCTGAGAAAAGGATGATCTATACGCTGCTGATCTGCAGCATCTACTGCTAGCTGTTGCAGGGTGGCTTAGGTAGCAGTGGTGCTGTGAGCAGTAAGCTGGCACTATGAAGAAAAGGTTAGTTCCAGATTGCAAGAAATCATTCAATTTTATTTTTTTTTCAAATTAATCTTCTGCGTCTCCATAAAAGAACTGATTTTTAGCTAATTGGCTGTCTTTTGGGTGGTTACAAACACTAGATAAGCTTGAAGGACAAAGAGCAGGAGACCAACAGTACACTGGTTCTTCTCTACGCTGCCATCCTACAAGAAAAGCCAATCCACTTATCCTTAGGGTTACTCTGAAAATGCATTGGAATGTTTTTTCTTGTAGCAGAAGTCCTTGGAAAACACTGCTAATGGTCAACCTGAGGCTGCTCTTCACCCTGAGCTGTACCACAGTTCAGAGAAAAAATCCCATGGCCACATGATTAGTAGATATAGCTGAACTAATAATCTCCAGGAGAGCCAGGTAAGGTGAATCAAACTTTCTAAATATGCATTGACTGTCAGGTTTTTATTGCTCACTTCCTGTAAAGTGCAGTCATAACACTCAAATATGAAATCTTTCACTGGCAGTAGCTACATGCCTTTGACCTTTTGGAAAATACCAAACAACATACCTGGTTTCTGAAACTCTGAAAACAGCAGAAATATTTGAATTATTAATGTGTCTCCCTCACCATTGCCTGAAAATTCAATAGAAATAATTTATTCTGTTAAAAAGTCATACCCTAGAATTTTAATGATGAGTTTCAAGAGACGGGAAAAAATGGAATAAAGCATCTGAACTGCACACGCCAACACCTCATCTACTTGCTTTGCCCAGTGATAGGAGGAAGTGTCAAGTATGGGTTGAGCAGAGACAGATTAATCTAGCATGACTTTTTTTGTGGAAGGGTGACATGCACAAACTCTAGGACATTACTATTGCATGAAAATCCCATAGTCAGGAATAAATAACTAGGAATGAAAGACATAGAAAAAATCTTCAGATGAGGAATTTGTTTATGAAAGTACACAACACAGTCCTTTTAAAAAGTAGATATTTTTCTGTTAAGCAAAAAGGTCTTAGTGCTGTGAGGCTCCCTTGTACATCTTACTGTTATTTTACATTGCTGAAAGACTGTTCTATACCAGCCTGGAGCTGTTTAACCTCCAGACATGATCTAAGAATGTCAGGAAGCAGCAAGGGTGGGGCTGCTCCACGAGGGAAAAGAAGCTGGAATCCTCCTTGGTGCCTTTACTGATGGGTGCTGTCTCACAGGGTCTGAACACATTAGGGTCCATTGGCAGTCCCAAGCAAAGCAACCGATAAACCAAGCTCAGGGTCCATCCGGAGGGTGCAGTCTGGAGCAAAAAAGGGCAAAGACAGAGACAAGGGTGGAGATGAGGCTGCAGTGTAGGTCTGAGGTCCATACATGAAGCAAGGTTGGAGACCAAGACTCCTCCAGCACAGATCAAACCAGGACTGGGTGCCTCAGGAAGGGCTGAAATGGGGTCCTGAGCTATGGGCAATGTGGTGGTAGCCACAGGAGAGGCTGTGCAGGGACATTTGGGATTGGTAGTGCCTTTGGGGCCATAGCACTGGAGCTGATTCTGCCTAAGGATATCTTTCATAAGTCTGAGCTTTTGAGACCAGTAACCAAAATCTTCTCTTTCACTAAAGGCTTTGGAATCTGTTCATGTTTCTATACATCAATCTTCATTAACGAATCTACAGTAGAAGCCTGGCTTTCCCAGTGTAACTTTAAAGCTATTCGGTTCTGGAGTGTATGTCTCCAAACATTTCCCAGCATTCACCAGTGCAAATTTCATGCTTACAGTCAGTTAAGGGGCATTGACTATTCCTTGCCCAGGCCAATTACCCAAAGAAACTGAGGGACAAAACAGAATCCACTAGGATTTATTCAACACAAAATGGTCGTGAAAAATATGTCACTGTTTTTCTTCCTTGCCAGAACTACACTAGGTACTCAAAACATTCAATTTATTACCTGCTTGAACTCTCCAGTTTCCACATACAATGACATCAAATTCCATCTCAGGCCCAGTTTACTCTTTTGGTAAAGTAACTAGAGAAATTCTGCTTGTCTGAAACTTCTATGACTTTCTTTCCACACAAGCGTGACTAAGAAATATTCCTTCCCTCATTTGGCTCTGTCCATGCCTATGAAATTTGTATTACCCTCTTAGAGGAATGGTATGGCTGGATCACACATTCCCAACATGTTTATAAAGGTATCAGACGTTGTGGGATGATCTCACTTCCACCCAGATAAGCACATGAAAATCAGATGTCTCCCATTCCACTGAACAAGACCAGGTAACAGAACAAACATGATGTAGAAATTCCCAGTGAAGATAAAACTCACTTTTCTATTTTTCTTTCTAACCAAGTGTGGGCTGAAAAACAAAATTATTATGCTACTCCCTGAACTTCAGGTCCAACACCTGAGTCACCCTGAATGTGAGGACCAACACAATATTTCACTGCTTTTTTTTTGTTTTGTTTTGAACTCGATCTCAACATCACCTTTTCACTCCATTTAAGCAGGTCCATCAGCAGTGCAGGTACTGTGTGCAGCACATCTCCCAGGGATGTACCAAGGGAGACAGCCCTGCCTCCCCTGAGGCTCAGTAAGGAGTCATCCTGTTCACCAGAAGTTACTGTACCTTTGAACTCAAGTTATTTGTCAATTTTTTTCCAAACATTTGCATCCTCAGAGACCTTGGAAATCCCCAGCTCACGCATTTTCTCAGACTAAACAGTTTATCCATTCTTTTATCTCCATTATTGCATTTATGGTTAGTAGCAATTCTCACAGTGTGTATTAAGATAAACTAAGTCTCACCTATTTGATGTCACAGAATCAGAGTATTCTGAGTTGGAAGGGACTCACAAGGATCATCAAGTCAAACTCTTAAATGAATGAATGGGGATTGAACCCACAATCTTGGCTTTATTAGCGCTGTACTATAACCAACTGAGCTATCTCAGGGTCATCAGTGAAGCCAGTTCACCTCCTTTAAAGCCAGTCTTGTTCATCACAAAAAATCACAAACATTCCTTATGCTGTGGATGAGGGATAAAATAGTACAAAGGAACTAAAATTGCTGAACTTGGTGAGGTAAGGATTGCTTGGAGAACCTATGCCACAGGAGCTGTTGTGGGCCTCTGGCTCCTTGCCCTGTGCTCTTGCATGTTCTGGAGCAGCACACAGGAGGGACAGGTTACAGGACAACTCTGGGGGCTTCCCTGCAGCAGCTGAATTAGCAAGGAAAGGGTAGGGGATCTCTCCTGACTTAGAAGCAGCAGACCACATGGGGAACTGGCTAACGAAAAGAGAAGAGATACATTTCTCAATCTCATTTTGTTCATTTTGGTGCATTCAAAATCTGTTTTCTTATAGCCACAATGTCAAGCAGAGTCTTAACACCTGGAAGATCAGGATCGTTTGTAACCATGCTGTTATTTATTATGCGACGAGTGAAGCTGTGCTCCAGGGATTTGCTCTGCTTTATTACTTTATTTCATTCTCTAGGATAATATTTATCTCCTCTCTGTATGGATGAGCAGTGATGAAAACAGGTGTTTAGTATTCCACTTAGCTTCCATTACAGTGGGTAGTAACTCATTTCATGTGCATGCTGGTGCAGTCAGACCAAAATGTAAGTACACAGAAGCTAAATAAGAAAAAAAAAAAACCAGAGCCATCTATAGGTATTTTAGCATCTGTTCTCCTTTGCTTGCTTACTGTTCAGGTACATGGGCAATTCACCAACAGTTTAATCACTCTCCTCAATATTTCAGAAGAATTCCTAATTTGTACTCTTAACACTTCACAAGGTAGAGGAAAGACAAGACAAGACACTTTGGTTTATCATCACAGGGGTGCAGCTGTGTTTCAGCTACCTAATCTTGCTCTGAGAAGTGGATTTCTCATTTGACTGCTCAGGGACAACATTTTGACAGGAAGTTGAAGAATTCCTCCAAAAGAATGATTTCAAATTGAAGAAAGCATTTTGCTCAACTTAAAAAGTGAGTATTTCATATTTTTAATTTAAAGAATTCCCTGGTCATCTTTGTTAGATATTTGCATCTCTTGGGGCTATTTTCCCTTAATTATCCATGTGCTATAGCAGCAGAAAAGCGGATTATTGATGATTAATAATATGGAGGCCACTGCTGAACTGAAGTTGAAGCTGGCCAGAAATGTGGGAAACAATGAAAAAAGTTTTTTCAAATATATTAATGGAAATAGGCAGTATAGAAATATCATTGACCCATTACAGGATGAGGATGGTCACTTCACAAACAGGGACATAGAAAAAGCAGAGGTGTTTAACTCTTTCTTTGCCTCTGTCTTCAACGTGGATGATGGACCGAGAGGGTCTCAGTGCCCTGAGCTGAAGGACCATGATTGCGAGAATGGTCAACTCCCAGTTGACCCTTAACTTGTATGGGATCTGCTGCTCCAGCTGGATCCCTACAAATCTATGGGGCCTGATGGGATTCATCCTAGATCCTCAAAGAGCTACCTGATGTCATCACAAAACATCTCTTGATGATTTTTGAGCGGTTTGGAGAATCTGGAGAGGTCCCAGCTGACTGGAAGCTGGTGGACATTGTCCTGATTTTCAAGAAGGGTGGGAAGGAGGACCCAGGAAACTACAGGCCTGTCAGTCTCACTTCAGTGCCCTGTAAATCATGGAAAAGATTATTCTGGGAGGTATTGAAAAACACCTGGAGGATGCAGCAATCATTGGCCACAGTCAGTATGGTTTCATGAGGGGAAAGTCCTGCTTGTCAAACCTGATTTTCTTCTATGACCCCCCCTAGTCGATCAAGGGAAGCCAGTTGATATAATCTTTTTTGGAATTCCGCAAAGCTTTCCATACTATCTTACGCAGTATCTTTCTGGACAAAATGTCCAGCACACAGCTGGATTAACATGTTATGAGATGGATGAGCAACTGGCTCACAGGTGACGCACAAGAGTTATGCAAGTGAATGGGGTAACATCAGGCTGGTGACTGGTCATTAGTGGGGTTCCACAAGGCTCCATACTTGCACCAGTTCTTTCCAATATCTTAGTTAATAACTTGGACGCAGGACTCGAAGGAATATTAAGTAAGTTTGCCAATAACACTAAATTGAGAGGAGCTGTCAACTCCCTCAAGGGGAGAGAAGCCCTCCATAGAGACCTCAACAAATTAGAGAGATGTGTAATCACCAACCATATGATGTTCAACAAGGGAAAGTGCTGGATTCTGCACCTGGGGTGGGGCAACCCTGGTTGTGTGTATAGACTGGGGAATGAGATGGTGGAGAGCAGCAAGGTGGAAAAGGATCTCAGGGTCTTTGTTGATAGCAAGTTGAATATGAGTCAGCAGTGCCCTAGCAGCCAGGAGGGGCAACCATGTCCTGGGGGGCATCAGGCAAAACATCACCAGCCGGTCAAGGGAGGGGATTGTCCTGCTCTGCTCTGCACTAGTGTGGCCTCACCTTGAATATTGTATGCAGTTTTGGTCACTGCAATATAAGAAAGACAAGAAACTACTAGAGAGCGTCCAAAGGAGGACTGTGAAGATGGTGAAGGGTTAGGAGGGGGAAGCCATACAAGGAGCAGCTGAGGTCGCTTGGGTTCATTAAGCCTGGAGAAGAACAAACTGAGGGGAGACCTCATTGTATCTTCGATATCCTCATGAGGGGAAGAGGAGGGGCAGGTACCGATCTCTTCATTCTCATGACCAGTGACAGGACTCAAGGAAACAGCATGAAGCTGAGTCAGGAGAGGTTTAGGTTGGATATTAGGAAAAGATTCTTCACTCAGAGCGTGGTTGAGCACTGGAACAGGCTGCCTGGGGAAGTGGTTACAGCAGCAAGCCTGTCTGGGTCCAGGAAGCATTTGGACAATGCTCTCAGGCACATGGTATGCTTCTTGAGATGTCCTGTGCAGGTCCAGGCATTGGACTCAATGATCCTTGTGGGTCTCTTCCAACTCAGCATATTCTGTGATTTTGTGTAGCAAAATAAACTAAAAAATAAATTAGATGGTCTTTACCTACACTCCAGAGGAAAAAGAGGACATACCATGTCACCCTGTGCTGCATGGGAGTAATAGGAACCAGATCTGGTTTTGGATGTTCCTACTGAGCCCTCAGTCACCAGCTCTCAGCCAGTCAGCTCCTTGGGAAGATATATTAGTCCAGCTGGGCATTTGATCAGACCTGAACGGGAACACAACCTTACTAGGCAAAGAGTAGCAATGAAATCCAGCAACACCCAAATACTCAGTCGGTAAAACTGCTGCCTCTGGGCACCCTGGTAAAGTTGAGCTCTTCTCTTAAGCTTCTGAGTGACTATCTCTCTTGCTAAGCTTTATGTTGTATGCTGCTCTTCAGTCATGTTCAATAGTGACTCTTCAACAATTCATTCCTGCAGCTGTGGGATGCAGGAAGTTCTTCGTGGCATTACTCCTGTTTGGGATTTAGGAATGGAAGAAGAAAATCCTCTGTGAAGGTACCATATGAACTGTGACGGAACTATTATTACTTAGCTGTGCCAAGTAGCAGGGGAATCATTGCTTTGGCTCTTCCTCCATCCTTTTATAAGCTGACCTATACTCACTCATCCTACAGGTTTTAACCCTAGTTGGGCACAGCAAACAGTTTATTTGTGCCCTCTTTCAAACATGTATAGCAATGTGCCCGATTTTAAAACTTAGTAATATTTCTGCTAACCAGATCTGGCCCACCCAGCCAAACCCACCTGTGCACTTGCAGGGTATACAGCAGACGCCACCTCCCTGCGCTAGTAGGAACTTCTGCCCATCTCAAATGCTTAATTAGTGACTGCTTGTCATAAGAGTTATGACTGAGATTTCAGTCACAGGCATGACATCAAACTCTTACTTCTTCACGTAAACAAAATACACCTACAGTAGTTAATTTGATGGAATTTCAATTAGTTTCCAGTAATTGTCACACACTGACTATCATGGAATTACTACATCCCCAGTAAAAAGGCACTATAAAATAGGTTGAGTTACCATGGTACAACATTATGGAGCAGAATGAAATCAATAAATAAAATTCTTCTATTTGTATCTTTATATTAATAATCATTGATTTTGGCCTTAAACTTTGGGGAATATAATTATGGTCCTATTAAGAATATTTACCAAGAAATGGTTCTCTATACATATATTCTAAGAAAATGCTATATAATGTGGTTTTTTTCATGTATGTGAAGACACAAAGTTAAGGGGAGTAGGGATCTATCACTGCAATACAGGAGTATTTGTGATGGGACCTCCAAGAGCCAGGAACAGAGTGTGCTCAGTGCTTGAAAGAACAACTTCCTTGTGTCACCAATGTTGATTTTCCATTTTTGCCACTCACTGTTAAGTTCAATGACTATATCAACTTAAAAAGTTAAAAAGACACCATATGTGATATTGAGTTTATTATTAAAGAAGGGTAAATATTAGGAACTGGTTGCAGCAGTTTACTGAGATGTGGCAATCATGGCTCCTTCAGAAAAACAAAGGAAGTCACCCTTAGGATGCAGTATCCTGTTGACTCTAAACTAATATACAAAGAGATATAGATTCATATCAAAGAGGAAAGGATGGGGAACCTGGCACCACTAAAAACCTTCTGGACAAAGATCTGCCTTTTTTCCTAAAACTCTGTACTTCGTAAATAGACGAGAAGCATATAAAGAAGAAGACATATTATGAGGGGCAAGGACAGGTCTTCTGCAAACCAAGATTGTTTTCACTTTTGTGCGTCATTAGTTAATATTCCCAGCTAGGGACAAAGATAGAAAGAAAAGAAAGTAATGTAAACACTAATGTCTCATGTGCCCTTAAACTCCAGTCACATGTTAAAGCTTTCATCAAGGGGAAAACAAATTATGTCATTCCTTCCATGCCTTCTATTACTGACAACTTGCTATCAGCCATCCCTCTCTGTTCATTCAGATTTAATTAAATAATCCAGAGGAAAAACCAAAATACCTATCTGCAATAAAAAGTATCAAGACATTTGCTAAAAAGGAACAAAATATGTGTAGAGATTCTTTAATCCTTCTCGAAGTTTATAAACTTTGAATTTTCTTGTTTAAGATAGTCCATGCAAGCTCTGTGCAACAAAAGCTTTCTATTAATTGCTCATTTGAAGGCTAGTAATAAGTACTTCTTCTCAGAGGGTCCCAATTTGGGTGCAGGCATCATGCTGTCATATGGAATTCAGCAGCGAAATGCAACTGCACTTGGAGCTGTGGAGCAGAAAATAAACTAGGGGTTTGGGTTCTGTGTTCAAAACTGATGTGTACCCTACCTTTAATTTCTGAAGTGAAAAATAACTGATAGTCTCTCTATCTTCAAAAAGTCAGTCTCTAAAGCCTCTGTCAAAGGATGGCTATAAAAATTTGGTCAGCTTAAAAAATTCTGCACACTTCTGCCTTAAAATATGAGTCCATGATTTCATGTAGTCTTGTCCCACCACATGTGGCAGCTCATATCAAACACTGAAATGTTTTTGCGTTTAGGAATGATTGGTAACAGTCTCTACTCCCGGTTACAGTCACATAGTTCTGTAATATGTTTTCTTTTAACTGAAGCTGCTACTTACTAACACATAAGTTCATCCTTGGGAAGAGAAGTGCTCCTTGTTCCTCGGTGTGGGACAACTCCTAATCTTTCAGCACACGCAGTTGGCAATGCTCACTCCTGTCAACACAGGCAGCTCTTGCCATGCAGTGTGGAAACTCTTCAAGGTCTGCGAATAATGATTTTTTTTTTTTTCCCCACTAAGTTTTAGTGTAAAGTGCAAACATCATAGTTTACTATAACCCTCGGAAAAGCAGACTGTGCTGTTTGCAAAATCAATTAAGCACTGTGTTTGCACAGAGCAAAGGGACAGTGTTTGAAAAAGGCTGCTCTCCCTTGGCAACAGCAGCACGTGCCAGTAAAAGAGATTTTAATTCCCTGCTCTTAGCAAAGAGATATGGAGGTGAGCCCAGGAGACAAGAGCTAGATGTGAAGGCAGGACAACACAGCAGGCAGAGGAGAGCTGTGGACTGGCAGACCCCAAATAAGGAAGACTGGCTGTTTTGGGACATTGGGCTCTTTTCCAGTATTGGGCGCCTTTCCAATTTTTCTTGTTTGGTTGTTTGGTGTTTTCTTGGTTTTTTTTTGTTTGTTTGTTTGTGGTTTTGGGGGGGAGGTGTTGTTTGCTTTTTTTTGTTTGTTTGGGTTTTTTGTGGTTTTTTTTTTTTTTTTTGTGTGTTTTGTTTGTTGGTTTGGTTTTGTTTGTTTGTTTTCCCCTGCTGATTAGGTCCCCACAGAGAAGACAGGTAGATCTGGGCTCCTTTCTATGGTCTTCTGCTTTGAAAGAAAAATCTCACTATTCTTCCTGGTCTGCAATACTAGATGGTTCTGGGATGCAGACCAGTGTACAGGCTGCTCGGAGCCACACGGCATATTTGGTGCTAACTTCCCCTGCCAAGTTTCTGCAGTCCCACTATACCATGGGAAATGTCCACATGTAGTCTTTGATTCTGCAGTGCGAACAAAGCACTCTTTATTCACATAGAGAAGGAAAGTGAGCTCATATGAGCCACTAGCTGACTGTGATCATATGGTCCAATGCCTGTAGCAGCTCCCATCTCACACATCTGTTCCTCTGCACCTTGAATACAAGGACCACAAGGGCCTGGCTTCCAAGTCAGAGACACACCACAGCTGCTGTAACGTGTACATCAGGATTCAAAGTTGAAGGCAGAGGGAACGGGCACTAGGTCCTGACTGAGCAAGAGGACAAATATGAGAGCTGATCTCCAAACTGGTGTGGTTCTCAGGTGCATGCATTTAGCCCAGCTCATACATTCAGGGTCAAATGTAACAGGTGATGCCAAGTTTGGATTCTGAACTCTCAACACTAGCAATGTTTGCAGCTACTCAGACTCAATTTTAATTTTAATTCATCTCCATTGTATGTCATTTCCTGAAAATGACTGCTTTGGAAATTTTTGGGAGGCAATATTATTTTAGCTGTTCTTTCCAACCTGTCAGAAAGATGATGTTAAATTAACATTAGTGACCTAAATTAAGATTGAACTTCATCCAACCAGTTCGAAGCATTTCTCACTAGTATGCTGAAGAAGTAATTAATTCTATTATTTGCATCTAAAGGCACAGTTAAAATCTTATCTATATACAGCAGAGTTCCCAAGCTGCAACTTTTTATTGTTTCTAATAGTATTGCCATGTAAGTGAAGACACATACTTGCCAAAAAGGGGATGTATTTGGAAGGAAATACTGTCAGAATGAAGGCAGCTAAACAGACAAAAGTAAAACAAATGCAGTCTTGTTTCTAAAAATAAAATTTGTTAGTAATGCCACTTTCAAATAAGGAAGAGAAAGCTCTATAGTATAGTAAATGGTATTTAGATCTTGTGGTGTTAGAGTCACACTCAATAGCAAAGAATTGGGATAAAATTGTACCTACCATTTCAATTTTTTTGGTGAAGATATCCAGATGTGCTCTACAAATAGTAATGAAACAACTGTTACAATTCCTGAGAGACACAGAAGTTCTATTACAAGAAGAATTTTAATTTAAATAATTTTAACAGGATGTTCAACCACAGAAACATTAAGATAGTCTCACAGCTAACATAAATATCCTAAATGTCACATGTTACACACCAGCAATATACCCTCTGCATTTTTTAATTCACTGTAACCAAGCTTTCAGAACATCTTCCTTCTGTCTCCTGTGACTGAAAAACCCACTATATAGTACAGAACATTATCTTGGACAATTTTTTCAAGGTTGAAACCCCAAAATTTCCCATTATTAGATTTGTGATTTTGGGTGCTAGAATGTGATCTAAGTTTGATGTATGTTTTTCTACAGATCAAAGGAGTTGAAAACTCAACTGTGAAGTGATAGGCATAGCTGTGCTGTCCAATTCATGGCAAAGGGGAGTATATTGAGTCCCTTAGGCTATAGTTTTTCCTTTGAATCCAGCTCTGTTACTGAGGTTCTGGCTGCACTTGTCCCCCTCGTATTTTAATGCCTGATGTTCTTATTCATGCTCCCCTTGTCCAGATTAAACTGATCACCCACTGCAGTGGAAAAAAGCAGCATGACAAGAGGAGACCTCAAGAACTGTGGATCCTATTTCTGTTCCCTTGTTCTGTCATGTGTCCACATAGAGTATCCTGGCAGCATCCACTGCTTCCTCATACGTTTTGTGGAGCAATGGGCACTGTTGGAAACCCCAGCTAAGCACCTCCTCCAGTTGCATTTTTGAGTCTTTAATCCTTCACTCCATCCCTTTTACATTTATCTTCTGTGGAGTCACTTGTGCTTTTTCCTGAGCTTGCAGCCTCTACCTCTCCCTTTTGGTGTTTCTCTACTCTCATTTAGTATTCTGTGGGGACTTGTTCCCGTGTTTAAGGGAAGACCAATAACCCACAACAGACACAGGGGAATGCAAGAGTGGGGCCATTATGTAATGACATGTCTTCTAAGTGCTTTCCCAGCCTGCAGCATTTTGTGGCTCAGAGGCTCAGATGCACTGAGCAGGAAGACGTGTCTTTTAAATTAATAGAATCCGATGGATTTATTTTCCATTTGCTTGTCCAAAGAGATGCTTTATCAGCATTAGTCGATCTGTGGCCACACACAAAGTAAGAGAAGTTTTTGCATACATGCAGTGTAAACCCTGAGGGTGTAGCATCTAGTTCTCTTTGGCAATAAGTCCATAGATGCTCTCAGATCTTTGAGGAAGATTTTAAACCATACTTTAGAAAATTACCACTATTAAAGAAATATTTTTCTTCTAATTTCTGACATTTTTGCTCTGTAGTTTGTAAGATGATTATGCGCAGGTTTGTTTTAGTGTGGAGCTTAAGTCGCCAGTGGGTAACAGTAACATGAGGTAGTATATTTAGATTGCCTAGAATTTTTTTTATATTTGGCTGTTTGTCCCTGACCATATTAATTCCCAGAACAACAACGGCAGATATTAATTTTTCCAGCATATCAGAGGAGTACAGCAAAGACCTTGCCAGTATTAAAGCTTCCATTGCCCACTGCAATCCCTACTGAAAGGTTAGTTAGTTATGTACTAGCTACACACCACAATTTTGTGGTAATGCCCCACTGATCAACTGCTCCTGCAGTGCTAAAGTCACTTGACATTCATTTCTTGCAGCAGTATTCCAATGAATGCAAATTTCACATTTTTCAAAATGCTCTCTTTTCAAATTGTAATCACACTTTATGAGTTTACACTGATGAGTCTGAGCTAATATAAAGCGTCATTTTCTGTTGCAGCATTTCCAGCTGTTGTCAGTGACAAGAACTAATATTCTAATTGAAATATTTAAGTAACAAGGAGAATCTCCAAGTCACTGTGCTTTAAGAAAAGTGTAGACACACAATAATTCTGTTTCAAAAGAAAGTTCCCAGAAAAGTTCTTGCAGTGTTTGGTCAACATTTCTGCAAATGTTCACAATGCCCAATTCACAGAGTACTGAAGCATCTGAAATACCACCTGATCAGGGGCAGTGGGATCTTGTGACCTCTGACAATATGTCCTCAATACTTTGTTTTCTAGTATTATATTTGTAATATGAGATGAAACGTATCTGCTTTATCAGTCAATTACTGCTTTATGGTGCCTTGCATCCCCTCTTAGGGCATCACAGGATACCCACGTGGCTCAAGCATTAATGAATTTTTTTTCTCACAGTGACAAAATGAGATAACATAGGAGTTATCATCTCCAGCTGACGTAACCTTTTAGAAAATACTGGTTCTGGAGGAATATATGTATCTAATGTACAGATAAAGACAGGCTCCCTTGAACCTGAGATTGGCCTCTGAGAGTCTTTTATCCCTTTTCTATTAGATTTTTCTTATTTCTCCCCTTCTGCTTATACTACTTCTGTGAGTTAACGCAGGACAATGCAGAAGACTTTGCAAGCTAGTGTATGATTTTCCTCATACAACCCCTACAGGTTTTCAGCAAGAAACCTATAAATATCTGGATTTGTTTGGATTGGCATGTGGATTTTTCCTAACATGTTAAAATTATCTGGGTAAACTTCCTTGATGCTTTTGCTAAAAGGAATTCCAGGGCAGATTCAGGAAACTTGATCAGTGAGTCGTCTGTTGCTGCAGAGCTACGTTATAGAATCAGTAGAAGAATTAGTACACATGTAGATAAATGACACACTTCAGAGGATCAATGTTTTTTGTTAAGGAAGTCACATCTCATAAATCTCTTGGAACTTTTAAAGGTACAGTCTGATTTAGTCTTTCTGGATTTCCAGAAAGCTCTCAAGGAAATGAGGCAGCCTTCGCATTCAAGGGAAGATAATTCCATAGATAATTAAACAGTTAATATACAATAGGAGGAAAAGGTTATTTTTAGCTGTGGAGAGGGACATCAGCAGCACATTATGGTGAAATGTGGTAAGGCTGATGTGATGAGATCAGCTGTTCAGAACAGTCATAAAAAAAATTAGAAGGGCACAAGCAGCAAGGTGAGACAGTCCTAAAATTATGTCAGTTTTGTAGAGGATAGGAAGAATGAATTGCATGTAGTCCTTACTGGATTGAGTCACTGGAATTTCAAATGAGAGTTGAAATTCAATTTTAACTGGTGTTCATGGAAATATGCACTTCCAGTTTAAATATTAACTGATGGATTCGAACAAACTAATATATCTCACAAATCAGAATTTTCTTATTAACATGTGGATACATCAGCTCACTAGCTTGCTCAGAAAGCAAGGATAGTGTTGAGAGTTACTAGCAAAGATGTAAAAGGCAGACTATATCAGTATGTCACTGAATACTTCCATGCCACACTCCTGTTATAAACGTGGTGTGCAGTTCTATTCCTTCAACCTAAAAACGATGCAACAAAAATAGAAGAGGTCTAGTGAAAGCCAGCAGGGTGTGGAAGATCTTCCCCACTAAGACCAGGACCCTTCAGTTTGGAAAGGGGATAGCTAGAGAGCAACTGAGTCCTACAAAATTGTGAGTGGCCTGGAAATTGTGAGGAGGTATTGACTGTTTGACTGTTCTCCCAAGAGAAGAATTGTTCCTCATGCCAGATTAGAAGTAGGGAGGTTTCAAGTAAGAGGAAAAGGAGATATCTCCTCATCCAAAGTAAAGTTAAGTGATTGCAAAAAATCCCTTGCCAAGGGGTGGTGTGGATGCTGCTAGTGTACGTGCATTCGAAAACAATCAAACATTCGCAGAACAGTATCCGTCAAAGATCACGATATACAAAGCCTGCAACATCTCCTCTGGAAGCCAACGGATGAAAAGTGAAAATTGCCAAGGGATGGAAAAGTATTCTGGGAACATATCACAACATGAGTATTCTGATGCGTTCTTTTCTAGGTATTAGCTGTTAGGCTGGTCATACCTTTCGTATAACCCTGCAGAATTGTTACACCATTTTCTGTCCTGGAAGCCATGAGGATGCCCCCTTACAAATATTTCTCTAAGGATATTACAAAGGATATCCCTCTTATTCCTTTGTATCAGTTTTATACCACAATGCAAAGTAGAACAAGAATCAAAAAGAAAGCTGCTGTTTTGGCTTTTAGTATAAAATAGATAATTTCAAAACTGTTAACCTCCACTTTCCTCAGTCTATGTGAAATGCCAAAAGCTTGTAATTCTGTGAATGCAGTCACTCATTAGCCACGTGCTGACTTTCTCTACTGTGCAATTCTGCTCTGTTTGTGTATGCAGCACACAAACCATGCACAGCAGGTGTCGTGTTCAGCTCTTTTCTAATATGTTTGGATGAGCTGCTTCTAATTAGTTATCCTTGCAAACAGAGTAAGAAAATATGGTAAATATGGTCATGTGAGTTGTCTACCTAATAGCCCAATTAAGTCATTGTTCTGTGGGGCCTGGCTGGAAGTTACTGCTGTGTATGAAATAGAAATAATCTATGTATACTTTTTTAAGGGCAGTCCATCATGGCTTCTGCAAAGAAATATAATGACAGTTCAAGTGTTATTCTGTAGACCATTTTATATTTTGCATATATATTTAATCCTTAATTTTTGCATAAAATATTTGTTATCACTAATTAATGCCAGAGCTGCCGCTGGATGTGTTTAATAGTGGTCTAAATACTACACTAAAAGGTGAAAGTCTGAGTATTTTAAGGATCAACACCTCATCTGAAAGGTTCGACCAATACACTCTGGATCAATCTGGGAGACCAAAAGTGAACACAATGAATACTGATTAAGTTTCTCACCATGAAATATTTTCATCTGCATGAAGTTTACTCTCCTTATTTGGATTCTTGTAGCAGAGTTCTCATACACACCAGACTTTCTCTAGAGATCCTACAGGCAAGAACCCACTCATGAGTAAGCTGACTCAGCACTCTGAATGTTAGAAAACAGGCCAAGCAGTCTCATTTAAGATGATAGCCCATTTAAAGCTCTTCAGTCCATAATTTAGACAAATGCAGATGATCAGAGCACAAATATCTGAGCTTCATCTCATGCTAGCCTTAATGTCACACATTAGATACTGGCAACCGGTGATCTGCTCTAGTACTAGTCTTGCAGTGACTGAGCTGCAGCTCCAGTTTAATTTGCACCTGCTTGGAACTGTGCTAAGCTCTACTGCTGTCACAGGGACCAGCCACTTGGAACCCTGCAGGGTTGTGCTGGTGCAGTTGTGCCAGATGGTGGCTATGTATAGTGTGGAGAAAGTTTGACGTGGCATCTGGCTTGAGCTACTAAAACCCTAAATATGCTTCACTTTAAAAAAAACCATCTGATATGAATAACATCTAAATTGAGGGTCTTATCCAAACACAGTATCAAATGATGGTCTAATCCTATGGCTATTCTCAATTACTGAAAAGTCAGGATATATCCTTGTCTGGGATGCTATACTGGAACGTCTAGGATTCCTTTTGTAACCCCTGAGACTAGATAGCTCCAGGCAAAGCAGCTTTAAAATAGAACTCTAAAATTGCCAAAAGCATACTATTGCTAGATAGCTTTATTTGAGTCTATAAAAGCAGTGATGACCTAGCTTGTGGCTTGGCATAATTTTAGAGAACATGGCAGACAATAGGGGAAACTCTGCCAACAGTAGTATCACATTTCTAAGAACTATCCAAGCAATATTAATTCAGATTAATTATATGGTGTAAATGAAATTCTACCCAGTAAGTACCATTTTCATGAAAGAAGTAGCAAATTAAAAATGAATACTAGACGCTATGTTGAATTTTAAAAAGTTCATGCTGCTAAATTCTCCCCCTCCCTTCAACTGAACTTGATGGGGTCTTCCCAGAGTAAAACAAAATACATGTGACTTGGTAGAGAGGATACGAGTCTCATGTGTGCAGAACTTTCCCTTCAGACTAAATAGGTACAGGAATTCCTATTTCCTTCAGTTAAGGTATCCTAGATGTCACTCGGAAGTGCCTACATGAAGAAATATATTTGTTAACAAAGACCTGCTCATATATCCTATGTGTGGACCTTTGCACACACCCTTTCTCCTCCCCTGGACTCACTTGGGCTACTCTGCATGTTGAAAGGCTTAGCTTTACTTCCTTTTTAATTCTATGTAGTTTATGTAAAAGTGTCTTGTGTGGCATATTCGACTTCAGAGGCTTAGTCACTGTACTCTGTGATATAGTTGCTAAAGGTTTTAAGATTGTCCCTTAACAATCAGACAAAATTGAAGAAGGGCCTTTGTGGTCATGAACCACAAGAAAAATTTGGTGCTGCCAAATGGGAGAATGACAAGATTAACACAATTAAAAAAACCCCCAAAACCGAACCCAATGCAAATGCCATTCAAAAGCAGATTTACATACTTGTTTGTTCTCAGACGTATGAAGTCAGAGTTCATGTACTATGAGCTCTCTTCCTCTTGGTTATGAATTTTCTTGCACAAGCAGCTATTTAAGATGTACAAGGTAGTGGAATATTCTGATGAAAATGTGAAACTTTGAGGAACTGAATTTCTCTCTAAAAACTCTTTCTTTGCAGGGGTTTAGTGTAATGCACAGACTTTTCACTATAAATCTGAGAAGACAAATTTTGCTTCCTTGTCTGCAGCTAATGGCTTCCTGCCAGCACTCATGGTATTTCTGACATATTTAAAATACCAATTATCTGAAGTAATGGTGACCCCCTGCCCTTCTAAAATTTTTAGCTTTGCACTTAGGGAGTGAAGTTAAAAAGCAGATGGTGAAACTAGGAAACTGAATGCTGCTACTTGCCTGACTGTAGTGTTGTTTAATTCTAGAATTGCAAATTTTTTGGAGGTTCATTTATTTTGTGTTTCTTTTGTTAGTTTGGTTTTGTCTTTTTTTTTTTTTCCCTCTATGGACTCATCGGGAGTCTGTATTTTTGCTTAAAGGAGAAACACAGAGAGCTGTAAATCAACACAGTCCCTGTTTTCTTAAAACATAAACAGTACACAGTGTGCTCCAGTTCCTGCTAAAAGTCTTTTAAACTAACAAACCCTTTGAGTCAATCATTGTAATGGTTTAAGGGAAAGGCATGGCCTGCACAGTCCTTCCGCTTCCCTGCAGAGTCATTTGTCTTTTAAAAATTAGTTTTTGCACCTGGGATGCTTCTACAGAAGTAAACATATTTTCTAGGAAAACGCTCATTCAGTATTAAATTGTCCTTTCAATTGATGGCCTTCAAATTGGTATAAGAGGGTGGGAGGAGCACAGTAGTAAGATGAGCACAATCTTAATGACCTTGCTAACGCACTCTCACCTGCTGCGGGTCTCAAACAATGACAGATCACTTAACTGAAGAACCTGCAGGCAACTGAAAACTCAAATCTCAGCCTGAAATAATTTTCTGCACAGACTGTACTGTGGACCACGTTGTATCCATCTCAGTCAGAACTGTGTGCTACTTTTCCTTCCTGGTGAACAAGTCAACTGTTTCAGCCTTCTCTATTAGAGGCAAAACTAACTTTGCCATGTATTAAAAAACAGGGAGAGCAAAGGGACATAAGTAACTTAAAGAGGAGTACTTAAGCTTTTGGCAAATGCTGTATCCATCCAGCTGAGGTGAACTGTCTTCCTTCCGCTTACCATATTTGTGCAAAGAGACTTGTTCATACCTTCTTACGGACTGGGTCCGTCCATACCTACTATATTAACCTTAACAAAAACTAAACAGAGTGTCATGTCTTCCGGTAATGTCCACAAGGCCTTTCCTTCTTTTTTTTTTTTCCCCCCCCAAAATACTGGCCATTTGTATTTCTAAAATCTAAGTTTAGTTCTAATTTTTGTTACCCGTAAAATGCCTTAAGGTTCTATGCCCAGGAGATAACATTTTAGTTTTAATATCGCATTTCCATGAGTGATAAGTAAATTATTTAAATTAAACTAAGGGATAAAGGACAGGAGTTCTGCAGTGTTCATTCCCTCCTTGTTCCCTCTTGGAGTACCTGAAGCCCTACATGTTCACAAGTTCAGCGACTGTTTTTTGATGATTTCACATGAAAGGGATTTTCTTTTGAGCTCTTCCTAGCTCAGTCTCATTCCAGTGCTATAAACCTGAAGAAAACATAACAAAACCAAGGTCAGGGACAACATCAGAAAATGATCAGTGTGTATTCTGGCACTAAACAAAATATATCTAATTACTCTTGCTTTTTTTTTTTTTGCAAGTCCTGTTACATTGGAGTTCACTTATATGTCACAGGACAGTGATAAAATTCTGTAGACTGAAGTTCACTAAAACTGAATGTACTCTTCTCATTCCTAGGCATGGTTTTCAGACTTCAAATCATGCATGTAGGACCCACTTTCCAAGTCAAAATTCCTTTTTTTCAAAAGTGTTCAAACAGGTCTGACAAGAGCACCCTCCAAAACAATATAATCTTACTTGTTAGGGTTTTACTCTCTTGGTTGTAGTATCTTGTAGTATCTTCATGTTCCCTGTTAATACACCATGACTCTACCGATACTGGGGAGGACCTATGCGCCAAAGAAAGATCATTTAAGAGTAAGCCTCTTTTAATAGTCTGATACAAAATCCAAGCATACTTTTCACTGGCTAATAAGTTCAGATAATTTCTTTTTTTTTTCACTTTTCTTGTTTTTATAACTAAAAAACTCTTGAGTTTAAATACAGGATAACTCAGAATGAACTAAGAGAAAACATATTGCTATCCCAGGCACAGATATTTTATCACTCCATTAATTGTCCTGTGAAGTTTTTGGGTTATGGAAAAATAGGTAAGATTAATACTACCTAATTGTTACATAACATATAATTGTTTGACTCAATAATGTTTTTAACTGTATGAGAGTAGTAAAACACTGCATGCTACACCAGGTTGACTAAGGAGGGGTGAACCGGCCCAGGTCGGAGACCTGGTCTACAAGGCCTCACTAGGCCTCACTCCCCCACACAGCAGAACCACCAGCAGGGAACCTGCGCCTTCAGAACCACTGGAAGGAAAGAGTGCAAAGGCCTCTCCTCCCTTCTTCTTTATACCCTGGCTTATGTAAAATTCATAGACAATACTGGGTATATGGCCACTTCCTTGGTTACAAAATGGTCACCAAGGAAGGTCTAGACTAAAACCACCACTGTGCTGTAGATGGCTTTCTGCTTAGTGTGTTACATCAAAAGATTTGTTTCTTCTATTTGCAAATACACCTCTTAATGAAATAAATTTTTGTAAACCTAATTTTGAAGATGAAAACATTGATCCAACACTATTCTTAAGTATTTAAGTGCTTAATCTTCCTGGTTAGCCATTTAAACCCTTAAGTAGTCTCCACTTTTGTGTTGGAAAAGATCTTGTGCTGCTACTTTGTGATCTTAGCTTTTCCATCTTCCACTGCTGTTTCCAGGCATTCTGATATGACATTCACTCACTCATCCAGCAATTTTAGTTTCCTTTTACTCTCACACAACTCTTCACCATTACAGTCTTTCATTATCCATTTCTACTTCATATACCTGGGAATTGATCTTCTTTACAACTATATCCACTGCTTCTCTAATACAAGCTTATCTATAGTCATGACTGAAATAAGACTCAAACCTACCAGTGTTACTTCCACTACTGCACATTAAATCTGAATCAGTACCAGCTGGCAGTGGATGGGAAACCCCAGTTACTTCACTGAGCTTCTGAATGAGTCTGGAAAATGATGATATGTTCATATATTAAAACTTATTTTATCAAGTAAGAATAATAGTGGCCCTCATGTTCTATGATATTTAACATTTCCTACCAATGAAGTCACAATTTGTTTTTTAGACTAATATGGTTACTGCCAACTTTAGGGAAAAAAAGGGAGATCTGTATAACTGAATTTGACTGAATGTGCTTTGGGCCAAAGCTGACTGTTACCTTCTGGCTTGGGGGGAGGGGAAGATGTCTTAGAAATAATAGTAGTTTTTAATAAATTCCTCTTTTTGAAACAAATACCAACAAGTATACTCCAAGTTCCAAGTAGCGGGATCTTACATTTATGGAATTAACAGGGCTTGTTAGTGGATTACAAAACATTTTTTCAAAATTTTCTTTAATGTTTTTCATACATAAAATAGAAAAATAGTCCAAATCCTCTACATGTGGGATTGTAGGAGTGACTACAGGGAAAGGCAAGCATACAGGTGGGGAGCACATGCCACTCTGCACACAGCGTTTTCTCATGGTTTCTTCCTCTGCCTCCTGACACAATATCAACTGGTACCTTCGGACTACAGTACAGATTTGCACCAGCAGAGCTAGGAGGACAGGCTATGTTTGCCCTTCAGTACAACACAGGATGATAGGATCATAGGCTGGAGGGACCTCAGGAGATCTGTATTCCAAACTTTTGTTACAAGTAGAGTCAGGTGTGAGATCAGACCACATTGTATAAGGCTTTATCCAGTGTGGTCTTGAAACTCTCCAAGGATGGAAAGAGACAGCCTCTCTTGGCAACCTGTTCCAGTTCTTCACTGTTGTGACAGTGAAAAAAATAATTTTATTTTCTTTGTTCCAGTGCTTTTTCCATTTTCCATCCTGAACATCTCTTGTTTCAGGTTATGCCCACTTTGTGCGTCCTCTCACACTTTGCTGTGAAGAGCCTGGATCCATTTGCTTGATGCCCTCCTTGCAGACACAGGCAAGCTAATGCTAGGTCCCCCTGAAGCCACCTCTTCTCTGGGCAGCACAAGCCTTGGACCCTTTAGTTTCCCCCACAAGGCAGGTGCTCCTGACTCTGGGCAGCTTGGGGTTCTCCACTGAACTTACTCCAGTTCGTTAATGTTGTTCTTGTGTTGGGAAGCCAAAACAACATGCAGTATTTGAGATGTGGTCTAAGATGCTGAGAAGAGAAGGACAAACCTTCCCTTTGATGTCCTGGCTGTGCTGATGTTGACACAGCTCAGGATGCAACTGGCCATTTATGCAGCCAGGGCACACTGCTGGCTCGTGCCCAGCTTGTCAAGCCCCCAGGTCCCTTTCTGCAGCGCTGCTCCCAGTCAGGCAGCATCAACCTGTGTCCTTGCACCAGGTTGTCCTTCCTGTCCAGGGGCAGCACTTGGTATTAGTCCTTGATGAATTTCAACTTGTTTCTCCTGTCCCATTCCTCCAACCTGTCTAGGTCCCTTTAGATGACAGACCTAAATTCTATACCTTAAGTGCATCAGCAATTGCACCCCAATTTGGTTTATTTACAAACTCAGTGAAAGTGCAGTAAGGACATTGATAAAAATGCTAAGCAGGACAGGTTGCAGGAAAAGACCCAGAGTACTCCACTTGTTACTAGCTTACAGATAAAGTATGACCTATTAACCTCTACTCTTATGAGCCTCATGAGTGAATTTTTAGATGAATGGTTGCTTATTTATCCAAAGCATAACATTCTAACTTGAATTCAAGTATATTATGCAACACTGTGACAAAAGCCTTGGTCAAGTTAAGATAAATGACATGCAGTGCATTGTCTTTGTCCAGAAACTGAAATCCTGATCATAGGAAGAAATTGAGTGGGCCAGGACTAATTTACTCTTGGTAAATCCATGCTCAGTTGTCTCCCCAGAGATCATCAAAGTGGGATAGATTAACCTGTAGTTCTTTGGGTTGACATTTTGGCCTTTATTTTAAGACTCATATGACTTTTGCCTGTCTTTAGTTATCAAACATCTCCTCTGGATCTCCAGATGTACAGCTCTAGACAGCCCTTCAGAGGAAGGCCTTGTCACGTAGTGTCCTTGCCCTGTCTTCCCTTCAGACACTTTGTTTGGATGAACAAAGTTCAGTTGGAACAGAAAGCAGTGTGTTGCTTTGGGTTTCCCTTTTTAGCTCAGTGGTAAACTTCCATCAAACAGAGAGTAAACCTAAATTATGCTGCTCTCAGCACAGACAGCACATGTGGAATGATGCTCTTTACTTGTGTGCCTATATGTACTTAGAGGTAAAGTTTTGAAGTAAGGCTGTAGAACTGGGGAAAAGTAGAAGATATGAGGCTGTTTTGGGGAGCTGCTGCTGTACACAGGGTAACAGAATTTCCCATTCTAAACTTCTGCTTCTGAAAAGGCTTGAGAAACTTCCTTCAGTGACCTCTACAGCAAAAACAAAATAAAACAAACAAAAAAACCCCCCCAAAAAATAAAAAAAATACCCAACCAACAACCCTCCCCCCAAAAAAAACCCCTCCAAACAAACCCAAACAAAACCAAAGAAAAAGAAAGGCTCTAAGTTTTCCCTCTGTTTATTTATATTTGGTCAGAGCATTTGGTAGTATTTATTCACACTTGAATCATTCAAAAATGGCTCAACAGATTTTACTCAGACGTCCAACATAATCACTTTTGTGTTGAAGTTGAGTGTGGAAAATTGAAGCCAAAAGGAATTTGAATTATGAGCTATGGGAAAAGGGTTAGGGACGCAGGAGAGCAGCTGGATTTCTATCTACATCACAAAGAGCCTCACAGCTACAACTGCTTTCCTATTCTAATTCCAGATGAACAAACATCACGTAAGTATCATAGGAAGAAGTTTTCAAAGTTGCAAGAGGAAGGAGTCAGCAAACATCAAAACATCAGACAGCGTTTTGCTTGTATGTAAGCAATCACTTAGGGGAAAGGAAGGGGAAAATTAAATCTTTTGACACAGTTGACTTAACAAGTGGATACAGAAAGTTTATTTGATTTATGAGCTGGAGCAAATGGTATCCTTTAGATAACTGTATTTACCAAGATCTGTTGAGAAACAAGAGTTGAGGATGTGTCATGGTATGGGTTAGCTCAGTAACAGTCTATGGAGCAGTGGCATGGATGATGCCATGCTGAAGTGAAAATTTACCCTACAAAATACCAGACTGATTTTTGAGAAGGAAATGGGAGTCTCAATGTCTCTGAGTATTTCAGTGTAGGCTGAAACATGCTGCTTCACAAATATTCTGGATTCTCTGTGTGAAGAAAGAAGATGTCATGAACACAGGTAAATGTGCCTAGTGACAGCAAAGCAAACATTAATGTGTCTCAGTAAAAGTTGCTGCTCCCTCTTCCTGTGGTGCTCAATCTCTCTGTACCCAGCAGGAAATACCTGGTCATATTCAAATTATCTCTGATAACTAAAAACAGCTGCCTTCCCCTTCTGTCTTAGCAAATCTCAGACTTGCCACTGCTTAAAAAAGCTTCTTGTCAGCTGTCTGTATGAATTTGAAGGACAGCTTGGAAAACTGAATTTGAGCACTTTCTGGAAAAGCACTGGCAAGTATCCTCAAACAGCACCTCGGCTAAGTGTGATATGCTTAGTTTTGTGTTTGGGTCCCAGACAAAGGTTAGACCAGATTTTCCCATTGAACAAAGCAGGAGTCTTACCACTTGCGCAGAAACTTTTAAGAGAGACACAAATGAAAATACCATTAGGAATAAAAGAACAAGAATCTACTGACTTAATCCAGTGAGACTGCTGTAAAAATGTACCACGTACTAGTGTTCAGCTAGCAGAGGGCTGCTTTTAGCAACGGGAAGGCAGGAACTTCAGCTTACCCAAGTACTGCCTCTGAGGAAAGCAGTACAAACACCCAGGT